ACCAAGTGGCAGTGATGTATGTACTATAGGTACACACATCACTGCCACTTGCTTTTGATTATTTTAATATTAAACAAATTTCAAAATAATATATCATATGAATGATAAAAGATCTGTAAAATTTGAATAAAAAGGATTCATTTTAATAATTTTCTATTTTTTTAAATTGTAAATAAATAAATAAATTCAATTTATTAATTAATTCATTTTAAAATAAAATAATACTGTCAAGTACATTTAATAAAAATCATAAAATATTTCATTATAATAAAATAAAGAGATAAAATAAGTGTTATTTATATTAATTTTTGTTTTAGGACCAATATAATAAAAATAAATGTTGCATACATTTTTTAAATGAATTATTCACTTTTTAAATGAACTTCCGAAATTAAAAATTGTATTTTATTATTCCGTTATTTTTATGAATGCCTAAAACTAAAATTTTAGGTAAAGATATTAATTTTTTGCGACTTAATTCATTTTAGTTTTTGATTTATCTATATATTTAATTATTCAATAGGTCCTAGAACAAGAACTAATAAAGTCATTTAAATAAAAAAGCGAAGCGTTCTCATTCAGAGGAACGTCAATCTCTTAGAAATTTGAAATATTGAGTTAATTTTTTAAATTATCTAACGCATTTTGGCAATTTCATTTTTTTAATTTGATTTTAGCACCAAATTTTGGCGAGTTGTTTTATATAGAGTCAAATATTAATAATACTTTGTAATAAATAAGTTAACACTGCATAGTTTAACTCTTTCAGTCTTGGTTGTCACTGTAACTAACCACCTTTTCTTAGAAATTCAATTTTTGAAGTATGCTCCAAATTACTTTGCATTGGTTATTGGTAAATAATAATTTTAGAATTTTAATTCTCCACCCGACCTGGAGATCGTACCCGATACCTTTTGCTCGTTAGCTACGCTTAAGATCTAAGATAAGTTTTCCAACATTGCGCTTAATTATTCGTTCAAGGGTAAGCAGAAAAATTATTTCATAGTATTATTAATACTGACTCCATTACTATTAAATTTTAAATTCAATGCACAAATGAAAATGCCTATTACTTTGAGATTATTTCAATATTTTCGAAATACAGTCACTGAGAATTTTAAATATTGAAATACTCAGCAACATCTTTTCTAATTTGCTAATCGAACCCGCGCAACTCACTCACTCACTCAACAATCGGATTAGCGAACAACAATATTATCAAAAATATGTAAATAATCTCAAAAATAACATTTAAATTGTTTTTTTTTAATAATCACGTTTCGAAAACAGAGAGAGACGTCATACAGCCAAGCTGTATGCTTAAAATAAATAATAATAATGGCATATAGATTATATTTATATGTCCAGAACTAGATGAGACGTAGTAACGTCAGTGTAGAATATATTAATCACCACCGCTACTCTTCCCGCGGGTGTCGTATACCCGACTAAGTGACTCATCAACAGCCTATAAATGCCCACTGCTGAGCAAAGCCTCTTCTCACACGGAGAAGGTTAGAGCATTAATCACCACGCTTGCTCAATGCGGGTTGGCGATTTCAAACTTATAATTAGAAATTATAAGTTCAGGTTTCCTCACGATGTTTTTCCTTCACCGTTTGTCAGTGGTGTCTAAATAATCTTAGAAAGTACATATAACTCGGAAAAAGTCACATTGGTACTTGCCGTTGGTAGGTTTCGAACCCGCACCCTCATGCATGAGAAGTGGGCGTCTTAAACCTCCGGGCCACCACGACATTTTT